AGCGAGCGCCGTGAGTTCTACAAAGCCTTCGTCACGCCAGAGGTTGTTGACGCTAGCAAGGCTCATGCGGAAATCGGCGAGGGTTACCTTGTTGTCGAGGCGCCTCTGTACAAGTAGTGACGAGATTTCCGCTCTCTATCGTGATCGATGTGTTGCATCAATGAAATTTTGTACTCTCCCGTCGTGCTCTCCTCAGGAGTTGTGTTCTTTTTTCCATGCGTCGGTCCGTTCTGCTGAGGCTCCATCATTAACTTTGCAAATGAGACCGGATTTCTCCAGCAGGTGTGTTGGGATGTCGAAAGTTTGAGTTGTCTCCCACTCTTGTTAGTTATGGGTTTTTCGAGCGTCTCCGATGCTACCCTCTCTGTGTTTGGTTGCTGTAGTCCTTCGCCCTCTCCTGGCTGTGCTCTGCGTCTTTGCGTTTCCATTGCATGTGTGTCCTTGTAGCAATGAGTGACTAAGGCAGTTGATCTGGACTCGTTTGCCATAACCTTGCAGAGGCTTCCTTTGCTTGGCCAGTCGTATTCTAGGGCGATCGAGTGATGTTTTGAGTCATGCTCTCGGAATAGACGTTGTTCCTCGCTCCCCCCTCTCATGTTCTTCCACCATGCTGGTCATGTGTGTTTGTTTTCTTCTCCCGCGGGTTGGTCTGAGCGCGGTGTCGGGTTTGGCGTCAAACATGCAACTTTGGGATCAGGTGTTACGAGGGTAGCAGACGGTTTGGATTTGGCCAAGTTGATGTAAAGATTTTCTACACCAACTCGAGATTGTCCTTTGTCGGTGTCTTATATTGGAACTATTTAATGTTCCGATCTGCAGTTTCGCCTGTAAGATTTTGGTCGGTGATGCGCCGGTTCAAAGGGATTATGGACAAGGTCTGCCAATTCGGCAGGTTTACCCATCCTCCTTGCATCGGGTTGCTCCGTTTCGGCTTGAGACCCCTAACTCTTCAAGTGTGGGCTACGATTTCACTATTTGGTGTGCATTGCGGTCGTGTTCATAACCTGCAATTTTCAAGACTTGTTCCTCCTGTAAGTCCATTTTCAACGACTCTCCTGGTGTCTGCATTCGACGACAAGGCTTATGCTGTGTTTATGTTGAGTGTCAAATTTCCTTCTCACTGGAAACTTGCCAAGTTGATGCATGGGCTACTCCCTTCGTAGTAAACTCACAATTAGTCGATGGGGCTTCTGAGAGTCATCGCAAATTTTTGTGTATCTGGACTACCAACTCTTGTACAATGTTCGGAAAGAATTGGTGTCTATTGTCCTCTAGGGGGTGATGATCCCGTCCCGGACGAGGGGTTGAGTCGGTGTTGGCAGACTCCTAGGGTGTAGTACGTGGGTCTGGGGCCACGTTATGAGTGGACTGAGCGGTGAAAATTGATGCTTCGAGGGGCTTCACAGTACCACCACGGGT